AGAATGTCAGTCGTGCGAACATAGCACCCGTTTGTACAGTGACTGCAAAAATAAGGAAGAATGTCTAGCAAGGTCAATCGAAACAATATATTATAGATTGAATTCATTAGGTGAGTAATTGAGCCTACGTAAGGCTTTAGTCTCAAATACATTCGTATGAAAAAAATATGAAATGAGTCATTTGAAGTGGAGTCTAATTGTATTTCTACAATGCAGTTAACGTATTTATTATCCATTCTACATTATTCACTCCACTCCATTCAAATGTCAATTATTCAATTAATTTCACAAAAGACTTCTCCCTTCAAAGCAAAATTGAACAGAAACTGAACAAACGAATAAAAACAAAGACTCGTCACTCCTGTTCATCACGATTCATGAGGAGAGTAATCAACCGTCTGTACTGTTCAAAAGCCATGATTTCGTATGGTGCTAGATTTTGTAGTATTAAAAAACCTTTTGTGTCTTTCTAAGAAAGACTGATAACAGTTGTGATATTTAGATCTATTATTAAATTGGCCAGGATATCTTCACGTCTGTAATTAACAATCGAGCAAGAGCTACGGCTTGGTTGCACGATAAAAATATTGAAATTAATATTGTTAACTTATAAAGCAAATTCACGTTAATATAAAAGATTGAATGCATTCATGAGTATATACATTACAGAATTCTTTATTCTGAAGTTACCATTCAATATGACTGTCAATCCATCGAGATACTCATCGTTTCTTGTTAAAGTGAAGGAAGTAATCGTTGTTGTAAATTAAGGGATGAATGGTACTGAGGGAAGCAATCTGACAAACGGACGAATGGCTTATTTCGTAAGTTGCTTATCCAATCATCCAACTCTGTTTCTCCAATCACCAATTTTCATTTGCATTCAATGGTCTCTTGGTAGATCAATTCATTTAGCGCTCGCCATTTGACGCGTGTCAGTGGGATAGATAATCTCATGATGGTGTTGTTTGAGCTCAACTCGATATCCAGATGAAAACGGTGCTGCGTTCAGTTTCTAGGTTATTATCACCTCGTATTTCTTCCACTGCTGACAAATAAGCACGCACAACTTCTGAACCAAATCACAACGATCATCAAGTCACAAGAACCAAATCAAATCATCAAGCAAGCAAGCCTTTCAATCACAATAACAGTACAGGTGAATTGTTTTTCTCTCGAACAAGAAGAACAGACTCAATAAAGATAGATGAATTAAAATCTGTGAAGCATGAGATTTCTGTGAAGCAGAAACCAATCACTTTGGTTTTATGTATGATGAACCCGATTGAGCAATAAGAACCACGTAATCAAAACAATAGGAAACTGATAATGGAGTGCGATTATCCGTTTGTGATGATGGATATCGTTTTAGATTGAGGGGAGATATGATCGACTCATCACCAGATTGTTCATTGTGTGCAGACGAGGAATCAGCGAACGTGGTTCATTTGATTGACCACCATTCAGATACGGTAAATAATTACCGGACGACTGAAACCAGACAAACATTAGCCATACGAAAGGCAACATTTTCGTGTATTTTCTCGACATTTTGACGTATAGAAATTTCAATCTTTAGACCGTACTTGCATTCTTTTTGATTAATTCACAGCTGAATTGAACGATGAAAATTTGGACTTTACAATGAAAAGACAATGTAAATATTTTCAAGATAGGCAATGGAATGTGAAAGTCGTCTTAAGGAATGCTTGTTAGTAGTAACTGAAGGCGAAAACAGACCCGTTTTGCAGGAGACTCATTTTCAGATGACGGTATTCGATAGGTGAAACCATGAAAATAGTCATGCTGCAACAACTCACTGCATGACCAACGCTTCTCGGGGTTGATATCAAAACATTTCTGAAGCAGTTGAATCGTTTAAATGAAATATTTTCAAGGCAATCGTTCCATTTCGAAAAAAATTTGCGATGTTCATATCCATATTCGATTTTCAATGGAATTGATAGAATGAAGCCATCATTAACTTCCATAAGGGAGACTGAGAATTGAGTATTTGATAGAAATGATCAAATTGCTTCTTGATTAGTTCATTGATCCGGATTTGATAAAGTCCATTCATGAACTTGCTATTACTGCTCTTTACTTGATATTAATTTGTTATTATGTGCTACATTGAAGTTACTTCACTACTCTGATGAAGTTACTGCACACTATCACATTATTTCATTTGTGATAGCAGGTTTGAATTGTTAATAAGGAAAAGGATTCACCAAAAAATGATGCTACAGTGTTAATCTTGTTTTTACATGAAACAGTTTTGTTGGCTTTATGAGCCGACAACTGAATCCAGTGAAAACAATCGAACTAAAGAACATACGTAAAGGAAATCAATGATAACTGGTGTCGTGTTCAGTTTCGTGCTGAGATCCTCGCATACGTCCGGTTCAGGGATTGAAAGACCGTAGAAGAACTGGTTGGAACGAAATATTTGCATATGACGAGGCAGAAATTCACCTGTAATGATGATATCGCACCGGATTTCGAAAATCTTAAAACTACGACAATACGATGATATTTTGTGAAGTCATGGGCGTTTATCAGTTGAATATCACATCTGATAATCTGATATTTTTTGTGATGAGAGTTCGATTATAATTGCAAGCAAAGCTATTGTCTGTCACACGCTCACTGCAAACTGATTCAGATGGATTCTCATTCTTTTCAGACGTGTTGTAGTCACTCTCATAGCTATCACATGCGAATACTGTTC